GGAGTAGTAGTAGTAGTAGTAGTAGTAGTAGTAGTAATCGTAGTAGTAATGTTAAGCAGTCGTAGGATATAGTAGTAGTATATAGTACAGTAAGTAGTTCAGTAAGTAGTAGAAGTGGTATGGGTAGTGGTTTAGTAGTAGAGTAAGTAGTAGTAGTAGTAGTAGTACATGTAGTGTAGTTTAGTATAGTCGATAGTAGTTAGTAGTAGTATTCCATAAATACAGTAGTAGTAGAGTAGGAGTAGTAGTAGTAGTAAGTAGTAGTATATTAGTACGTGTCACAGTATTAGTAGTGAGTAGATTACACATAGTAGTAGTAGTAGTAGTAGTAGCGAGTAGTAGTAGTAGTAGTAGTAGTAGTAGTAGTAGTGTAGTTGTAGGAGAGGAGTAGGATGTAGGCGTAGTAGGAGTAGGAGGAGGAGGAGGAGGAGGAGGAGGAGGAAGAGGAGGAGGAGGAAGGAGAGGAGGAGGAGGAGGTGGAAACAGGGTGATCCCCTGGGGAACCACAGGTTCCTACGGGCTTCCCGACCTGGGACCGATGGCGACGTCGGTGCTGCGGGCCTCCGCATGCTGCATCGAGATCCACAAGCGGCTTCACAACTTCAACACCGGAGGGAAGTGGGGGGCATCCGAGCAGGAGAAGTATGATCTTGCTGCGCATGCGTGTGCGGATTCAGAAGAGAAGGGGGAATATTATGATGAGGAGGAAGAAGAGGTGGAGGAGGAGGAGGAAGAGGAGGAGGAGGAGGACCAGGGTAAACCCAAGACCCATCAACGATGTTGGAATACACCCTCTTTCCGAGCTCCCTTTTCACAGGCCTCTATAGGGGGTCAGGTCCACGGAGGGAGTTGCCTTGTTGAGGGGCAACCGTGTGGAAATCCTCAAGCGTTGCCTCGGTGAGGGTCAACCGTGTTGAGAACCCCGCCCCCTCTCGCTAGCCTCTTCGGCGCGCCGCCGAGTAAAGGCAGGGGCTTCTGGGGCGCGGGAAAGGCGTCGACGACGTGAGGCTGTGCCTCCACATCGGGGTTGGCTGCGGAGAGATCAGCATCCTGCAGGCGTGCCGGCGGCTCTATCTGCTCTGCTCTCCTCGTCCTGCTGCCGCAGATTCTCCTCCTCTTCGCTCTTCTTCCCTCGTCCTTCTCGTCCTCCTCGGTCCTCCTCGTCCTCCTCGTCCTCTTTTTCTTTATCATCATCACCATCATCATCACCATTATCACCATCACCATCAACGTCATCATCAACATCATCATCATCATCACCATCACCATCACGATCACCATCTCCATCTCTCCATCTCCATCATCATCATATTCAGTCTCACCTCCATCGCAATCATCATCACTTTTACCATCACCATCACCATCACCATCACCATCACCGTCACCATCGCCATCACCATCGCCATCACCATCACACTCAGGGCGTGTGCTGAAAACGACCAGATGTCAGACGTGGCTGCAAAGGTGAAGTGGTCGCGATTGCTGTGCAGCGTTTATCAAGTGAACTCAAGGTGAACTCGGAGGCGCGGCTGGTCGTGCCCCCACCTCCGTGAGGCGGCGCGGGAAGGGCGGCCCCTCTCTCCTCCTGCCTCGTTCTCGTTCCTGCGTCCTTCGCCCTCCTCCGTGGTCGCGGTCGCCAACGCGTGAACTCAAGTTCGAAGAGTGCCTGCGATTGCCGTGCAGCGGCTGACGCAGAAAAGGCACAGTGCGCCCGCCCCTCCCGCCCCCCCCCCTGTTCAAAGCTGAACTCGCGGCCCGTGGGCCGAGTCGCTTCCGACCAGCATTGCATTTCCACGGGGGGGTAGGTAATGCGCGACCAGAAATCGTGCGTGCCGTTGTGCGCGGTTGATGCAGTATGCAAATTCACGTCCAAGAGTGCGTGCGATTGCTGTGAAGCGAGTGGTGCAACGTGCGAATCGAGCGAGGTGCTTCGCGCTTCACGGTCGTTTTTTTTACGCACGCGCCCGCATCACCATCACCATCACCATCACCATCACAATCACCATCACCATCAACATCACCATCACCATCACCATCTCCATCTCCATCACCATCACCATCATCATCACCATCACCATCACCATCACCATCACCATCACCATCACCATCACCATCACCATCACCATCACCATCACCATCACCATCACCATCACCATCACCATCACCATCACCATCACCATCACCATCACCATCACCATCACCATCACCATCACCATCACCATCACCATCACCATCACCATCACCATCACCATCACCATCACCATCACCATCACCATCACCATCACCATCACCATCACCATCATCACCATCACCATCACCATCACCATCACCATCACCATCACCATCACCATCACCATCACCATCACCATCACCATCACCATCACCATCACCATCACCATCACCATCACCATCACCATCACCATCACCATCACCATTACCATCACCATCACCATCACCATCACCATCACCAGAGGGCATCCCACTGTGCATCAAAACGTTGCGGGCGTGGGCCGCGGACATGGCCGCTGCTGCAGAGCCGGACCTTGCGGCGCCAAATGCGGGAGCCGTCGAGAACGCGACCATCGTGAAGCTGGACTTGGAGAACGCATACGGCGTTTGCACCGAGCTGGTGCGTTACGGCGCGTCCGAGCGGCAGCGGCGCCCTTGGCCAAGCTCTTGGCCTCGCAATGGCGGGCTGGATCGTCGCGCATCTGGATTCGCGTCGATCGCGCTTGGCGCGCGGTGGACACATGGACAGGCGGCACCCAGGGATCCTTCCTCATTAAGGTCGTCTTCGACATCGTGGTCCATGCCATCATGATGGACGCTATCGGCCGGGAGCGGCTCCGAGCCCCAGGCGGAATGCCTGCCAGCATCGGCATCGCGGATGACTGGTATGTCGCCGCTGCGGCATCGGCAGCCACGCGGGTTTTGGAAGACTTGGAGGTCCAGCTCGCAGCGGAGAACCAGCGGCTGGTTCCTGCCAAGTGCGCTGCGTATTTCCTTGCCGTGGATGCCGGGCTGGAGTCCCTCGGCCCCGCAGGCGAGGGCTTGAGCCGGCGCGTCTCGAGGTCGTTCGGGGGCTTGGAGGCGCTGGGGTCGGCGCTGCAGGGCCGCTGTGCTATGCGCGTCCGCGCGACTAGCGCTATCCAGGAGGAGGGCCCCGCGGAGGCGCGAGCCGAGGAGGTTTGCAAGCTGTGCCAGGCTCTGCTGGACATGACCCGTTGCAGCACTCACCCTGGCACTTGCCATGCTGTGTACACCATGCTGGCGCGGAGCGTTGCGAGAAGGCCGGATTATGACATGCGGCTGTGCCCACCGTGGGCGCTAACGTCAGCCTTGCAGCGCACGGCGGCAGCAGTGCAGGAGGTCTTAGAGGCGCTCGCGGCGCAGCGCCTCGACCTCGACAGCATGGCCATCGCGGGCGTGCACACCTTCCTCGGTGGCTTCGGCATCCGGCCGGCTGATTTGCCGCATGCGCGGGTGGCATATTGGGCTTGCCACGTTGCAGTCCAGGCTGATGTGACTGAGGTCGCGTCCCGGCTTGGGCGCCCTGCCGCGGTGCACCCCGACGCACCCCTCGCTGCCCGTGCGCGGGACGAGCTCGTCAGCTGCGGCCTCCAGCTCTGCCCCGGGCGCATCGACTTCACGGCCGATGCGCGGCTCGAGTATGAAGCCGGCCCCTGGGTTACCGAGCTGTTCGCGGAGGCGGTGTTTGACTTCCACGCCGAGGTAGACAATGCCCCTGGCGGCCAAATGCCCCTGCTGCTCGCGAGCCAGGACCCTGCTACGGAGGGGCATGACTGGGGCGGTCGGCGGCGGCTTGCCGCGAGGGCGTACCGCGGCCTCGCTGCCCTCGCGGCGACGCGCCTCTGGGGCCAGCTGTCAGCAGCGCGCCAGGCACGCCTGCTGGCCGGCGGTGGGCTCGGAGCCGTTGCCTTCTGGAATGGCTTTCTGCGCGAGGGGGAGACGGCGCTCACCGACGCCGCTTTCGTGGTCATGTTCCAGCGCCGCCTTCTCCTCAACTTGCTGAGCGCCGCGGTGGCGTGCGCCTTCCGTTCTTCGGGCGCCGCCGGCGACGAGCGCGCGGGCACGTGCTGTGGGCGGCCCCTCGACGTCGCGGGCTTGCATGCCTTGCAGTGCCGTGTTGGGCCACACCGCATACGGCTGCACGAGATCGTGCGGACCCTGGCGGAGAGGATCTCATCGCACGGCGGTTACGCCGAACCAGGAACGCTGCGTGCCAGAACTTTACCAGCAGGAGGCTGGCGGCGAGCTGCGCGAGGCCCGCTTGGACCTGGTGGTCAGTTGGCCGGGCATGCCAGTGCCAGTCTGGGTGGACTTTACGGTCCGCTCCGCCGATCCCTCGGGGCCAGCAGCACGCACGATCGGCCATGCCGCCATTGGCGCTGAGAGGCACAAGCGGGAGCGTTACGGCGACGCCGTCGTGCCCTTCGCTGTGGAGGCCGAGGGGCGGCTCGGTCCACAGGCGCAGCGCTTCGTCGCGGACATGGCAGCTGCGGCACGCCGCGTTGCAGTGCTCCCTGGCGAGGCGAGCGGGCGCCTGGGCAGCGACTTCGCGCGGAAGCTGTCGGAGCGGTTGTCAGGTGCCTTGACGGCCCGGATGGCCGACCTTCTGCTGGCCGCGGCAGAGGGCGCTGGCGTGGGGCCGTGGCTGGGGGCGCGCCAGCTGCTGGCGTAGAGGCTGCAGGCTGCTTGCATGTGGCTACCTCGACCTTTCGTTTCCCAGGGGATTGCGCTATCACCATCACCATCACCATCACAATCACCGCCACCATCACCGTCACCATCACCATCTCCATCTCCATCTCCATCACCATCACCATCACCATCACCATCACCATCACCATCACCATCACCATCACCATCACCATCACCATCACCATCACCATCACCATCACCATCACCATCACCATCACCATCACCATCAACATCACCATCACCATCACCATTACCATTACCATCACCATCACCATCACCAGCACCAGCACCAGCACCAGCACCAGCACCATCTCCATCTCCATCTCCATCAGCAACTCCATCTCCATCTCCATCTCCATCTCCATCTTCATCTCTATCTCCATCTCCATCTCCACCACCACTACCACCATCAGCATCACCAGCATCGTCACCATCATCAGCACCATCATCATCGTTTCCATCCTTTCCTTCTCTTCCTATAAACCTCTTCTCATAAACCTCGCTGAGTCTTCTTTTTGTCACTGCTCCACACCTCCTCTCCTTGTTGCGCTTCCCCCTCTGGGCGAGCGAGACAGCATGTATGCTCCGATGCACCGCCGGCCACATGCCAGAATATGTCGTATTTGCCATTCGCCCCCAGCGAGTCCAGCAGCTCGCATACGAGGATGGCGAGGAGGAAAAGGAATGAGGAGGAGGAGGAGGAGGAGGATGATGAGGAGGAGAAGAGAAGGACAAGGGGGGCGGGAGGAGGAGGAGGAGGAGGAGGAGGAGGAAGAGGAGGAAGAAGAGGAGGATAATGACGAGGGGGGAGGACGAAGAGGAGGAGGAGGAGGAGGAGGAGGAGGAGGAGGAGGTGAAAGATGAGGAGAATGATGAGGATGTGGAGGTGGGAGGAAGGGGCAATGTAAGGGAAGGATGACGGCGGGATAATGGCGGGATGATGACGATGCTGCTGCTGCTGATGATGATGATGGTTCGGATGATGATGATGTTGATGATGCTGCTGCTGCTACTGATTGTGATGATGATGAGGAGGAGGAGGAGGACGATGGTGGTGGTGATGATATTAGCTGCTTCTGATGCTGCTGATGATGATGAAGAAAAGGAGGAGGAGGTAGAAGGGAAGGTAGAGCTGGAGGAAGAAGAGCTGGAGGAGCAGGAATACTACGGAGGAAGAGGGATGATTGACATGATGCTGATGCTGATGCTGATGCTGCTGCTGAAGATGATGATGATGATGATGATGATGATGATGATGATGCTGCTGCTGATGATGATGATGATGATGATGATGATGGCGATCGTGATGCTGATGTCGATGATGATGACGATGCTGATGATGCGGCGGATGATGAGGATGATGCTGCTGCTCATGTTGATGGTTATGATGACGCTGATGATGATGACGATGATGATGGTGGTGATGATGTTGATGCTGCCGAATATGATGATGATGGTGGTGGTTGTGATGCTGATGATGCTGATGAGGAGGCTGTTGATGCTGTTGCTGCTGATGATGATGGTGATGAGGGTGATGGTGGTGGTGATGATCATGATGCTGCTGATGATGATGACGAGGATCATGATGAGGATGAGGATGAGGATGAGGATGATGATGATGCTGATGATGATGATGATGATTATTCTTATGATGCTAATGAGGATGTTGATACATTTGCTGCTGATGGTGATGATGGTGCTGATGATGATAATGACGATTATGATGCTGATGATGCTGATGATGATGGTGATGTTGATGATGATGATGCTGCTGATGATGATTATGATTGCGATGGAGATGATGCTGCTGTTGCTGATGATTATGATGATGGTGATGATGATGATGATGATGATGATGATGATGATGATGATGATGATGATGATGATGATGCGGATGATGATGATTATGATGATGATGGTGATGATGATGATGATGCTGCTGCTGATGATGATGATGATGACAGACAGACAGACATACAGACAGACAGGTATTAGACCTAAGTCGTGTGGCAAGACGAAAGATGGGAATGACACATCAGAGTGCGATAATCGCGTTTCGGCTCTTGCGAGCTCTGTGCCAGGCGGGTTGTCCCGAAACCTTTGAGCAGGCAGGGCACGTCGTAGCTCCTGTTGGGATCACGGACGCCACATGTTTCCGATGGCCGTGAACCCTCATCCTGTGCGCAGCCACGGCTTTGCTGCTACTGTTAAGTTTGGCACATTCCGGGCACGGAACTGTAAGAAGCTCTGTGGAGTCGTCCGCAAAAGACGCCGATCCTAGCGTAACGTCCCGGGCGAGACGTTCCCACCTTCACCAGTCGGTGGCTATGAGTTCTGTCCATGCGGCTGCTCCTTTCGCTGAGCTTGGGTCCCGAGGCGCACCTAGGTCGCGCCGGGCTGGTGGCGGCGCGAGCCCGGGAATCGCTCGGAGGTCGGCGAGAACTCGTTGAGACCACGGGGAGGGAGGCCGAGTGAGACAGGAGGAGGGCCTGAAGCGCAGGGAAGGGCTTGCAAGTCAAGCTGGACATGTATAACAGGCGGCGCCGCCTGAGTTTATTTTCTATACAGGGCAGCTGTAATTGCTACAGCAGCGCCAGATCGGTTAGGCGGGTTTTCCAGGGATCGGAAAACGGCTCTCATGGGCTACCCTGCGCGCGGCGCGCAGATAAAAGTGTACAACCATTGTGCGTGAGTACGCGAAGGTGCCGACAGCTCAGAGTTATGGAACAACACTGAAAGGACGAGGGACTGGAAAAGTCGCAGCCTGAGCTGCACGCTCATATGTTGCATTGCGAAGACCTTCCGCACCAGGCTATGGTACCCCGCGGATGCTTTCCGTAGGCGTGCACGTATGTCTAGGGACGTGACCTTGGACTGCATGGATCCTATTTGCACTTTCTCACCACGAGACATTCGATGCCTGGGACTCCAGGTAGGGCCAAGGCGGGGCGCTCGCCGATCATCGCCTCTGCTTTAGCGTCCCGGGCGCCCTTGCCCCTCCGCATGATGAGGGCCTTTGACTTACTGGGCTTCCATTTTAGCTGCATGCCGTGCCTATCCATGGTGGTGTGCGCCGCTTCGGCTACCATGGCGACGTTGCGGTTAAGACTCGCATTGTCCTCGATTGATTGATTGCTGGTGATGATGATGTTGATAATGATGCGGCTGATGATGACTATGATGATGATGCCGATGATCACGATGACGATGATGATGATGGTGGCGATGATTCTGATGATGATAAGGATAACGAGGATGATGATGCGAACGATGATGCTGATGGTGCTGATGCTGATAATTATGTTGATGCTGATGGTGATGCCGGTGATGATGCTGATGCTGATGCTGATGCTGATGAGGATGATTATGATGTTGCTTATGATGAGGACGACGATGAATCTGCTGATGATGCTGATGGTGGTGATGATGACGATGCTGATGGTGCTGATGCTGATGCTGATGTTGATGCTTCTGATACTGATGACGACGATAAACTTGATGATCGTTATAATGATGGACATGGTGATGCTGCTGATGATGATGCTGATGCTGCTGATGATCACGATGAATGTGATGATGATGACGATTAACGTGATGATACTGATGATGTTGCTGACGATGACAACGATTAATGTGATGCTGATGACGACGATGAACGTGATGATGGATATCATGATGATTATGATGCGGATGAATATTATGATGCTGATGATGCTGATAATGATTGTGATGATGATGACGATGATGATGCTGCTGATGATGATGAAGACGATTATTATTATGATGAGGATGCGGATCAGGATGAGGGTGCTCATAATGTGATGATGATGGCGAACATGATGATGCTGATTATGATGCCGATGATGCTGATGATGATGATGATGATGATGATGATGATGATGAGTCTGATGAATAAGATGATGATGATGATGATGATGATGATGATGATGATGATGATGATGATGATGATGATGCTGATGATGATGCTGATGCTGATGCTGATGCTGATGCTGACGATGCTGATGCTGATGATGCTGCTGCTGCTGCTGCTGCTGATGATGATGATGATGATGATGATGATGATGATGATGATGATGATGATGATGATGATGATGATGATGATGATGATGATGATGATGATGGAGGCGCAGCATAAGCACGAGGAGCCGCAGCATACGCGGAAGGAGTGGGAGAAGGACAAAGAGGAGGAGGAGGAGGATCGGCGGCAGCAGGACGAGGATAAGCGGCAGAGGAGGAGGAGGAGGAGGAGGAGGGAGGAGGAGGTGGAGGAAGAGCAGGATGAGGAGGTGGAGGAAGACGAGGAGGAGGTGGAGGAACAACATGAGAATGAAGGCCATGAGAAGAGTCAGTCCCGCATCCTGCTGCCCCTCCTTTTCCTCTGGCGTCCTGCGCCCTTGCCTTCCAGGTGGGAGGCGTTGTGCCCCCGGAGACGCACGTGCCCCGCCTGGAGTACCTGATCTCTGGGGCCCCCCTGGAGCAGATCAGCGTAGCCGAGCCACTGGCCAAGGAGGGTGCCGTTTCGCGAGTCGAGTCGGGTGGAAGAGGAAGGTGATGATGACGATGAGGAAGAGGAGGAGGAGGAGGAGGAAAAATAAGGAGGTGGAGGATAAGGAGGCTGCCTCTTTTGTCTGTAATTGCCGCCTCCTTCCCTCGTCGTCTCGCTCCTCCTCGTGCGCCGTCTCCTCCTCCTCCTCCTCCTCCTCCTCCTCCTCTCCGTATTCTTCTCCCGTCCTTCCCCCGTCTTGCTCCTCCCTATCCCCCCCTCTCCTTTCCCGCTCCGCCCGCCTCCCACCTTGGTAGACTGGTTTCTCCAGCCGCCCTAAGCCGCTGAGTGTTGTGGGCTTCCTTTCGCGGGCCAAGTGGCACTTCCAGGTGGCCGAGGTTTTTCGGACTGCCTGGATCGGGTCAAGCAGTTTGCGATGCCTGTGCAGGAGCAGTTGTCGTATGAGAGACTGCACTCGGGATGTTCTCTCTCTCTCTCTCTCTATATATCGGCAGATTTCTCTGGTTTTCGGTTGACTAAGAAGCTCCGCGAAGGCCGCGAGAAACTTTCTGTGCACGCCTGGACATGGACCAGGGCGCTTCTGGCAGTGTGCGCGTTGATTCCTTGAGTTCCGTGTTGTTGACCTCCTGCCACGGAGGTCTTGGGGTCGGGATCCGCGGATTCCATGTTCCATCGTAAGTTGCACTTGAGTATAATATGCTTTAACTTGTTGCGAACGATGACGCTTATAGTCGTATTCGTATCTGCTGCAACTGCTACACTTGCGGGGGTCGTTTGAGTTGGTATGGACTGAAAGCGGGAACGTGGGATGATAACATCTTCCGGATTGGACTGAAGCGGGAGCGCGGGATGCGAGCATCTCCCGCCGCGTCGTACTTTTTCTGCGCGTGAGTCCGTAGCCATTTTGGCTCAAGCAAGTGTGACTCGAGCCGCCTCCGTCAGAGGCCCCGGCGCTCCTTGTCAGCTTTTTGGGGCTGTCGCCGTCATGTTCATCGAGGAATTGATCATTGACGGCTTCAAGTCATCCTCGACGCGAACACATGTTGCTCCTTTGACAGGCAGTTCAACGCGGGTACTGCCCTGAACGGGAGCGGCAAGTCGCACATCTTCGACTCTGTTTGTTTCGTGCTTGGCATCTCAAACTTGCAGCAGGTCCGGGTGGGTAATCAATCCTAGCTGGTGTACAAGCCGGGCCAGGCAGGAATCACGAAGGCTAGCGTCACGGTGGTGTTCAACAACGAAGACAAATCCTGCGGCCCAGTCGGCTACGAGATGCATGACCGTTTCACCATCACCAAGCAGATCGGCATTGGTGGCCGCAACCGGTATTTGTTGAACTCCAATAATGTGCAGCAGAATCAGACCCAGAACTTGTTCCATTTGGCTTCCCTCAACGTGAACAACCAGCACTTCCTGATCATGCAGGGGCGCATCACCAAGGTGATCAACATGAAGCTGCAGGATACTCTCTCCATGATCGAGGAAGCGGCTGGCACCCGCATGTACGAGAACCAGAAGGCCGGCGCGCTCAAGACCCTCGAGAAGAAGCAGGCCAAGGTCGACAAGATCAACAAGTTGCTCTCCGAGGAGATCATGCCCACGCTGGAAAAGATCCAGAAGAAACTCCAGAACTACATGCTGTGGGTGTCGAACAACAACGAGATGGAGCGCCTCCAGAGGTTCTGCAGCGCCTACGAGTACCTTCAGGTCCAGGACCGCCTCCAGAACCGCAGCAAGCACCTAGAAGAGATGGAGGAGGCGCTGCAGGCACTCGTCAGTGGCATGAAGAAGCTGGACGATCGCGACATCGAGATCCAGAGTCTGATCAAGCATCAGACGGCCCAGCGCGACAATCAGGGCTCCAAGGGGCTGAAGAAGCTCGAGGAGCCCGACTCCATCCTCGGTGCGCTCCTGCCGCACGCTGGCGCCGAGCTCGAGCCCCCGAAGGGCATGGGCGCCACCGAAGGCCTCGAGATCAATGTGTCCTTCCACGGGGCCTGGAAGCAGTCCTTGATCGAGCTCAGCGGAGGCCACCGTTCGCTGCTCGCCCTGTCGCTGGTGCTGGCCCTGCTGCGCTTCAAGCCGGCGCCGATGTACATCCTGGACGAGATCGACTCCGCGCTGGACCCCAGCCATACGCAGAACATCGGCGCGATGATCCGCCAGCACTCCCCCAACTCTCAGGTCACCATCGTGTCACTGAATGAGGGCATGTTCAACAACGCGAACCTACTCTTCCGCACCCGTGTCGGAGTCACACGCCTTCGAAAGAACTTCTGCACGTGAGGCTCCTGAGGCTGCCTCGATGCCTCGTGGTGCCCCATGGCAGCCTCACGTGGGCCGTGGGTGGGCGGCCGGCCGTGCCCAGCGTGAGGCGATGCCCCACGGGCCCGGCTGGTGGTGATGAGACTGGCCCCGCGGCCCGTGCTCCTCCAGGTGGCCTCGCCCTCATCGAGGCGCAGCTGTACGTCCCTCTCGTGCCGCTGCTCTTCTTCGTCTGGGTGCTCGTGCTGGTCGTCCTCGGCTCGTTCGACCTCCCATGTCGAGATACAGAGGTGGAGCGTTGAGTTCTCTCGTGTGCCGTCTCGCAAGCGGGCCGCTCAAGGTCGCTGCTTTCTGGCAAGGAGGCGCGTTGTGCCTCTGTGTTCCGCGTCTGCCCGTGGCCGCCGGGAGTCGGGCGTGCGGCTGCCTCGAGGGGAAGGCCCTGGCGCGCGGTGCAGCCCGACGTGTCTCGAGCCGCTTCCGCGCCACAGGGGGTGGGGAGCCTCGTCGTGCGGCGCGAGGTTCCCACGCCCAGGGCCGCATTCGCTCGCCTGGGGCTTTCCAAATTTTTACCCGGTCGGATGTCGAGTTGCTTCTGGATCTCGCCTTGGAGGCCTCGCCCACCTCTTTGGGTGTACTGCGGCGCGGTTGATGGTGAACAGGCTCCTCATTCTTATCCTCCTTGCTCTCTGCCTCCTCTTTCGCCCCCCTTCGTCTTCCAGGGGGGGGGGGGCGGGTGCGATGGAGGGAGGGAGCGCCGCCGCCCAGAACGGGGAGACATGCCTCAGCCCGCAAGCGTGGGACCTCGTCAAGGACTGCGTCATCGAGGGGCGGAAGCTGGAGGACTTCTGGGAGAGGGGGGGGGGAGGACGAATACTCCACGAGGAGCGATGGTCGGGGACACATTTTTAGCCAAGTTTTGTTCTTGGGCCTCTTCGGGCCTCCTGTGGGGGCCCTCGTGGCCGCGGCGGGGTCGCTTTGAAAACCTGGTTCAAGCGCATCCCGTTACAAACAGGGGGAGGGGGAGGGGAGGGGGGGGCAATTTATGAGGGAGAGGTGGGAGGAGGAGGAGGAGGAGGAGGACGAGGAGGAGGAGGAGGAGGAGGAGGAGGAAGAGGAGGAGGAGGAAGAGGAGGAGGAGGAGGAGGAGGAGGAAAGGAGGAGGAGGAGGAGGAGGAAGAGGAGGAGGAGGAGGAGGAGAAGGAGGAAAAAGAAAAAGAAGAAGAGGAGGAGGAGGAGGAGGAGGGGAGGATAATGATGATGATGAGGGGGATGAAGAAGAGGGGGATGAGGAAGGATGATAACAGTGATGATAATGTTGCCGCTGAGGAGGAGGAGGAGGAAAAGGAGCAGGATGAAGAGGAGGATGAAGAGGAGGAGGATGAGGATGGGGAATATGATGATGCTGATGATGCTGATGCTGATGCTGATGCTGATCATGCTGCTTCTGATGATGATGATGCTGACGATGATGAGTCTGATGATGATACCGATGATGCTGATTATGCTAATGCTACTTACTGATTATGCTGCTACTGATGATGATGGTGATGATGATGGTACTCATTATATTGGTGATGCTGATTCTGTTGAGTACGTTATGATGATGCTGCTGCTGATGAGGGAGATGATTTTTATGATGATGGGGATTCTTATGATTGTGATGATGGCGATTGTGATGATGATGACGATGATGATGATGCGGATAATGATGAAGATGATGATGTTGATGATTATGATGATGCTGATAAGGATGACGTTGCTCTGTTGCTGCTGATGGTGATGCTTATGCTGATGATGCGGATGATAATGCTGGTGACGATGATGCTGTTGTTGATGATGGTGACGATGATGTCGATGATGGTGGCGGTGATGATGATGCTGATGAGTATGATGATGCCGCTGATGATGCTGCTGCTGATGCTGATGGTAATGACGATGCTGATATTGACGACGCCGACGACTATGACGATGACGATGACGATGACGATGATGATGATGATGATGATGATGACGATGATGATGATGATGATGATGATGCAGATGATGCTGATGATGATGATGATGATGATGATGATGATGATGATGATTATGATGATGATGATGATGATGATGATGATGATGATGATGATGATGATGCTGATTATGCTGCTGCTGATGAGGATGATGCTGCTGAGGTTGTTGTTGTTGTTGCGGTTGTCGTTGCCTGTGTCGGTGTTGTTGTTGTGGTTGTTGTTGTGGTTACTGTTATTGCTGTTGTTGGTGTGGTTGCCGTCGTTATTGTTGTTGTTGTTGTTGTTGTTGTTGTTGTTGTTGTTGTTGTTGTTGTTGTTGTTGTTGGTTGTCTTTTTGTTTTTGTTGTTGGTGTTGGTGTTTGTGTTGTCGTTTTGGTTGTTGTCGTGGTTGTTGTTTTTACAGTTGTTGTGGATGGTGATGGTGATGGTGGTGCCAGTGAGGATGATGATGCTGATGCTGATGCTGATGCTGCTATGATGATGATGACGATGATGCTGATGCTGATGCTGATGCTGATGCTGCTGCTGCTGATGATGATGCTGATGATTATGATGATGATGATTGTGGTGGTGGCGGTGCTGCTGCTGATGAGGACGGGAGGAGGAGGACGAGGAGGAGGATGAGGAGGAGGAGGAACAGGAGGCGAAGGAGCCGGAGGGAGAGGAGAAGGATGGGGGGCCATAGGAGAGGCCGTATATTTTTTGGCTCAAGTGCTCCCTCCAATTCGCATTGCATTCAACTGCCTGGAAGCGGAATGCAGCAAATGATGGAATAGCCGTTCTTGGAATAGCTGTTCTTGACGATGCCTCCAGCGTCGCACCAGAGAGGTCAGCCTTCGTTTTCGTGACCTTGTCGCCGTGGGGCTCGCAGGACCAACCTGCCAACGTGCTGGCCCCTGAGTTGTCGCGCAACGGGACAGCGTCCTGTCAGGAGGCGGGTTCGGACAGCGCTTCCCATATGGCAAGTCAGTGCGACGTCATGCTGGTTCCATCCGTGTACAAGGCGAAGAAGGCTGCGGGCATCAATAACTTATTGTATTACAAAGTGGAACGCGTGCGCCGACGCTTTGATCTCCTTGGTGCAGTTGCCAGGTGGGGCGCTGAGCTGACCAGGGACCACGTCGACACGTTGATGGCGCGCCCTGAGGTGCTCCCATCCTTTGGTGCGAGCGGCGTTCTCACACAGGCAAAGCGTGATCTGGAGGAGATGCAGCAGCAGGTAATACTGGAGCTTCATGAGGACGCTGCAGGTCGACATCGCACACTAAACTTCGTGCGCAACGCGGGATTTAATACGGGATCACCGAGAGAATGCGTGGCACTCTTCTTGTGGAGTTCCTCCTCTGCCATCCGATGCCCAGTCTCGCGCCTTTGAACGACAATTCGCTGGAGCTCCGATTCGAGTGGATGTGCGAATTGCTCGTGCGTGCTGCTGGCGGTCCATGGCCAGTGCGAGGAGGTGGTAGCTAAGATGTACAATAATAGCGACGTCACCGAGGCCGAGCAGCTGGGGCGTATCTACCAGGAGTTCCGCAAACTGGGGCACCACCGCGACCACGAGCCAATAATCTGCCGCCAGAACATGTTGCACAGCTGGAGCCGCGTGTGTTTGGTGCCCCGGTATGGTGGCAACATGTGCATGGAGCAGGGGCTGCCGACTGGGCAAGGCTATCGCCTGCAGATGGATGGTGTCTTGGGAAGAGTTGACTAAGTCCCGAGTGCCTTGTCCTACTGCCAGGGGTTCGGCCCATTCAAGCACGTTGTGCTGGATACGTCCCAGAGTTGGCATGGTTGCCGCTCGGTTGGCTTCAGCATGACAGCTTGTTTTCCCAGACTCCAGCGCACGGGACACCCTGCGAGGCTTCCTGCCCTGCGTCGCTCCAGAAGGAATGCCGCGGGGCACGCGCCTGCCATTGTCAGCGGACTGCCTGGGGCGCTGGGGCAGTGCTTCCCGAGGCGGCCTGGGGGCAGGGCTCCCTCGAGCCGTCAGTGCGGCTGCGCGGGAGGCGCGAGCGAGGAAGCGGAAGGCGAATGTTCTGTCTGACTGAGCGGCCCAGCTGCAGGTGCCGCGCCGCGCCCGCAGCCGGCGCTGGGGAGGTGTCCAGAAAACCATGCAGAAATGGGTGGCGCGGGCGCCGCAGCGAGTGTCGTCCGGCTGGTGAAGCGCGGCAAGGGCCAGAGGGGTGCCGCAGGCAGGGCATGGGCAAAACTCGCAGAAGGCCGACGCCCCAAAAGGCAGGGGGCAGTGGCGGGGCAGGGCGCCCCAAGGCGGGCGGGAGGTGCGGCCCGAGGGTCACGAGCGGGCGGCAAGACCGGCCTGCTGTGACAGGGCCAGCCCGGAATTGGCGGCAACGGTGGGAAGTGGCCGAGCGCCGGCGCAGGCGCTGGCGGGCCCCGCGCATGGTCTTGAGAAGAAGGCCAGCCTCGAGCGAGATCTGGAGGCATGCTGGGGGGGCACCGAACAGGTGTGCGATGAAAAGCGGTCGCGAGGGCAGGGGGGCGAGGGCGGCGGGCAGGCCCCGAGCGAGGGCCGGGGGCCTGCGGGGGGGGGGGGGCACCGAATAGGTGCACGATGTGGGAAAGTCACGAAGGCAAGGGGGGGGGGCAGCGGCCGGAGAGGCCATTGCCAGGGCGGGGATGTCACGCTCAGTGCAGGTCGGTGATGCGGCGGCTAGCTGAACGCTGCCAGCGGTGGCTGCTGGAAGCGGACCCGCGCTGGCGGGAAGGGTCGTTGCTAGACCGAGAGGAGCCCGCCGGCCGCTTCCCTTTGCAGTGCGGTGGAGTACCTTTCTTTTTGCCTTTTGCGAGCTCAGAGCTTTGTCTCCGCTTGCCAAGTTCGCGATGCCACTCGGCGTGCCGATCGAATTCTATGCCTTTCTCCCGGCAAAGTTTGCGCGCGTCGTAATTGACCTCGCTGAGGTCATGTGCGAAGCCTTGGTCGACTCCAGAGTTGTGGTGCTGTGGGTTTTTGGCAGAGTGGGGTCTAGACTCCTGGTCGCGGATGGCATTCCGCCCGATGGTGAGCATGGCGCCGCATTCTTTCTTGGGGCGGTTGGTCGCCGCTCGCTGGTCCTCCGTTGGCTCGGTGGTTCCAGGTAGGGTGCCAGGTCACCTGGTGCCTTGGTTTGTTGCAAGCCCGTCATTGTTGCCCGAATGCGGCGCGGGCAGTGTGAAGGGGGGCGGGTGGCGTGGTGCCGGCTCCTGTCTCCAGGGCGGGGTGGTCTCCGCTGCGCCTCGTCCGCGCCGCCTTTCGGGTGCGCCTGGGTTGCGCTGTTCGCTGGTCCTGTGGGTTTTGCGCGCTGGCTCGTCCTCTGCGGTCTGCGAGGCGTTGAGGCGAGGCTGCTCTGCCAGTAGGGCCTCGGCGCGAACGGGGCTGGAGGATGGGGGCGCGCTGACCGTTGGCTGAGAGGAGTTGCTGGGGCTGCGCCGCCTCCCAGAACGCCCGCTGGCTGGGCTGTCCGGGGGGCCCCTCCACTCCAGTCGCGGGGGGGCTCGCGAGAGGCAGAGCGGGAGCTGGAGCTCCTCCCCGCCATGCCCCGCCGAGCCTCAGGGGGGGCTTCGGACGATTCGGTGCGCCCATCCTTGCCGCTGGCGCGGACTGGCGCCGCTTCGCGCCCCGAGGAGGGGGGCTGGCTGGAGGCGCGCCGCTTCGTGTCTGGCCTCGGCGGCGCTGGGGGGGGGCGGCAGTCTGGGTTGCTCCGCGTGCGGGGAGCTGCCGCTGGGGCGCTGGGCTGTCGACTCTTCCTCGGGCGCTGAATCTGGAGGGCTGGCAGCTGCTGCGCGTGGGCGGCTGCTGGGGGGGGGCTGCCATGGGGGTGGGCCTCTTCTGCGCAGCGGCTGAGCGGGAGTCCCGCGCGCGTGGGTGCTGTGGCGACGTTATCCCCTTAGACTCGAAGTATCCGAGCAAGGTTTCCCGGCCGTGCCAAGCCGGGTCTCTTCCCTTCCCGGGCGCTCTGGGGTCGTGTTTGCCGCGGTGCGCGTCCCATTCGTCGGGTGCCTTGCGCGAGCTGGCGGGGGCGTGGGGGATCTGTGGATGCAGGTGGTTAGCCAGGAGGGCCAGGATGTCGCGCCTGCCTTCCCATGGGGCTCCTCTGGGGGCCCCGGGCGACGGGGGGCCAGGAACTCGTGGCAGCGCGCTTCGAGCCAAGCTCTGGGGTCAGAGAGGGGCCCCGTGCCTCTCTTGGGCTGGCGTAGCGGGGGGTCGGCGTTCCTCGGCGTCCACGCCCTCCCGCGCGCGTCGGCCTCTGGAGAGACTGCTCGGGCAAACGTCACCATGGTGCGCGCGATCGCGTCGTCGGCGCTGCCGGGCGTCTTGTCGGGGTGGATGTGCCTGGCCGCCGGCGGGGTGGCAATGGCCTTCGAATTCAGGCGGGGGCATGCTGGAGGGTTGACGCTAGGGGGGCCATCCAGGAGGCTAGGGCGCGGCGTCGCGGGGTCGGCTGTCTGCTTCGCCCGTGAGCTGCTGTTCGCATTTGGCGCTGAGGCCGACCTGCTCTGCTGGCGACGCGCCCCGGGGAGGGGGCCGCGGGGGCCCGCGGGGCGGCCGCCGGATGAAGTCCCGCCCCGCCGCGTAGAGGCTTGCTGCGAGGTGCCGCGGCTGCCGCCGGTCGGGGGGGTGCGCGAGGTTGCCCTGCGGTTGTCGGGGGGGGCAGGGGGATGGCGATTCCGTGGTGGGCCTGCCCCTGGGTGGGTCGACGTTGCATAGTCTGTCTGTTCCCGGGGCGCGGGGCCTTCCCGCGGCTGGCCGGGGGCGGGGGCGCTGCCGAAGGGAGGGGCGAAGGTCGGAGGTGCCCGCGGCCCGTCTTCTCGCTGGAGGTCAGCCTTCGGCAGGGTGGCCCAGGCCCCTAGTAGGTCGGAGTCAGGGGGCGGGGACTGACTGCTGGGCCGCCTGGGCGCTTGCGAGGCCCTGGGCCCAGGAAGAGGCGGCCCCCCCGCCTCCTCTGTGCATCTCTTGAGGGGACAGGCCGCGACCGTCCCTGTCGAGAATGATCAAGGATGCCATGCGCGCTGGCGCGCATCAACCTGTGCCCAAACTGCCTGACCACCCCACGTCCACGCGCTATGGCAACGACCTGCAGGCATTTGCAGCACGCTACAACGACAACGCAGCTCTTTGACTCCAAATAGTAGCGGCGAACCAGCACATCCAAGCACTACCCGCATCGCAGGAGGACACTCACCATTCGAGCCCAACAAGATTGCGGCAACACAAGAGGTTGTACAATGGCTCAACGCGTGCCGCAACGACGACGACCCCATGAAGCTCGATTGGACAGTCAACATACGAGACGCAGCCACACTACTGCAGCATATTTACAACCCGGCTTTGGCCAACCACAACGCTACCGCGACTCAGACTGACAGCGACAGCGACAGCGAGGGGCACGACCAAGCTGACGCTTACTAACATATTTAACCACCTCTTCCCACGCTGCCTCCACCGAGCGAAGAGACCACAATGCCCAATAAACGTGCGCGCGCACTGCCGCCACAATGGCAGACGCGCGACACGCCGACGCAGACCCAAGAGACACGCGCACAGACGCCAACGACATACCGACCACACAAGCGCCATCCAACACATTACCTGTCAAGAGAGCACCTCCTCTGCCCGCCATGCCGCATGCGCCAAACGCAGCGCTACTTGCTCCACAAGACGGCAACCACGACATGTCAACTGCGCACCAGCAATGGGCAGCAACGCCGACATCGCCGAGAAAGGTGCTACCTTGCAAGAGTGCACCAACACCCCCAGCATCACCCAGCGCACTCAACACCAACACACAGGTGCATCAACGCAATATTCCCAGCAAGCCGGTGCCCACCCACATACTAAGCAACACCAATGCGCCGACCACGACAACTCCGACCTCGAACACCTCGCCCGCAATGCTTTCACTTCGTCTACCAATTCACGAAATCAACCAACAATCACAGCAGCCAAATACCGCCCCCGGCGTCAGAGTCACGCCGACGACAACCTTGATGCAAGAACCTCACACTCAAGGCAATCAACAAGTGGTGTCCCATTAGACCAGCCAGGCCGTCCCATTCACCATCGCCTGCCTTGCGACTGCCCATGATGCGGGAGAAAATCTACAATCCGAGTCTTTCTAGGGCTATAGGGCTACAGGGCTATAGGGCCATAGGGCTAGAAGGCTTTGGGGCTATAGGGCTATAAGGCTATAGTGCTATACGGCTCTAGGGCTATAGGGCTATAGGGCTATAGGGCCGTAGGCCTTAGGGCTATAGGGCTGTAGGGCTACACAGCTATGAGGCGATAAGGGTATCAGGCCATCGGGCTGTAGGGCTATAGGGCTAGGGCTATAGGGCTATAGGGCTATAAGGCTATAGGCCTTTTAGGGCTCATGGCTATGGGGCTATGGCGCAATGGGGCTACAGGGCTATAAGGCTTTAAGGCCATACGGCAATAGGTCCATTGGGATCTAGGGCTATAGGGCTATAGGGCTATTTGGCAATTTGGGCTATAGGGCTGTGGGGCTATAGGGCTATAGGGCTATAGGTCTATCGGGCTACAGGTCTATTGGGGCTATAAGGCTATAGGGCTATAGGGCTATAGGGCTACCGGGCGCCCGGGCGCCCGTGCGCCCGGGCGCCCCGGGGCGCTTCCAGGCGCCCCCAGCCGCCGAAATCGGCGACGAACCTCACCTAGCCATATGAATCCGTTAGGGCCCCTGCACAGGCAAGATCTGATTGGGGAATCATCTACCCGCCAGACGAGGAGATCCTGACGCAGCGTTGGCTACGGGAGTTACCTTTCAACGATGTGACTCCGCAGACGTATGCCACCCTGCGCGCCTACTTTCGGGCCCGCGCAGCACGCGCAATCGCGGCGCGCAATGCAGCGGCGAGAAGAGGGGGCCAGCGCATTCTCATCTGCAACCGACGCATCATCTTCTTCAACAATACAGGAGACCCGACATTCCATAATTGCATCGACAAGCTCCGTTCACACCATACGCGATACGAGATCTACATCGTCAGCCTCCGCGACCATCCAACTGGAGTGCCTCTCATAGAGCCCCCCCATGCGGATTGTGCGATTGTTCAAGACGCCACCTCCAGCCCAAACCTACGAGCAGTATCGACGCGGGACAAGCCATGGACTAATCACGCAACGACAGCAGCCTACCACGACATCCACCTCTAGTACTCGTACCTCTATTACCGCAGAAGAGCGTCAACTGAGCCTGTCCCTAAGGCACAGTGTGCAGCCGCGGATACACAGTTGTCTATTCTCCTGTGCCGTTTCTTCTCTCACTGATGCGCCTTGCACCCCTTTGTTTTTTCCGTCGCGGGGTCCGACGCGCTGGTGGCTCCACGCTCTGCGTGATGAAGTTTTAGGCTGCGCCTTTAAAGTCCTGGTTTGCAGTCCTAGCGTTGCTGGCTACATTTGAGGGACCCTGTTACAGGCTACCCTTCTTTTCCAGCTGGCACACAGTGCGCACTTGGTTCCCCGGCCAGGGTGCGACCCCAGTCGAAGAGCTAGACGTTCCGCATTTTACACTGCATGTCGGCCGCATCTTATTGGTCAGAAGTCTTACTGGTGCTGCCTGTGCCCCCCGTCCTTTCGACATGCCTGTTGCGCGTCTTTCTCGTTTGCATGGTTCGGGGTCAAACCGAAACCCCTGCCCACAGCTCGAGCTTTTTATTTTTCGGCCAGTGCACGTCGATGCCTCGCTGCTCGCGTTTGCTGCGACTCAGGGTCAACTAGGAAACCCTTGCGCGCAACTTGCTTCTCTGCCCGTGCTATGCGCCCTCCCGTTCGCCTGCCTCTCTTCCATCTAGATCTCGACATGCGTGTGATGCGTTTCTCTATCGCGTTCAAGGTTCGGGGTCAACCGGGAACCCCTGGCCACAGCCTGGGCTTTCTTTTTGTTTCGGCCATTGCACATCGCTGCCTCGCTGTTCCTGTTTGCTACGGTTCGAAGTCAACCAGGAAAGCCTTGCACGCGACGTGCTTCTCTGGCCCGTAATGTGCACCCTCTCGTTTTCCTGGCTCCCTTTGATCTAGATCTCGACATGCTCGTGATGCGTCTCTCCCATATTTCAGGTCCGGGGTCAACCAGAACCCCCTGCCTGCAGCTCGGGCCTTTTTTTCTGCCTTTTGCGCATCACTGCTTCGCTGCTCCGGTTTGCTACGGTTCGGGGTCAACCAGAGAACTGACACTCTGATCGGCCGTGCTCCTCACTTAGCTCCGACGTTTTAGGGTCAACAGCAAGGGCACGCTCGCCAAAGATGCCTCAAGGCGCAAGTGCCAGCCTACACAGGTCAGCCTCGCAAAATTTAAATTCACGCATGTACAGGCATCTTGGACTTCCAAGGTTCGTGCGAAACCTGTAAAGAACAACGGAACAAAAACACGATGGTCCTGGTAACGAAATGCTTCGGGGTATACCCAACAAACCCTGGGCCGCAACCCAGCAACTGCACAGCTTTTTCCTTTTTCTGCTTTGATGCCTGTCCACTTCGGCAGCTCACTAGAGCCTCTCCGTGATAGTCCCTCACTCCGCCCACGCCTATTCTCCAATCAGAGCTTGCCTCTGTAGGGGTCCGAGCGGATTCGTACGATTAGGTGAGCTTTGCCGCCGATTTCCACGGCCCGCCCGGGTGCCCGGGTGCCTTATAGCCCTATAGCCCTGTAGCCTTTCAGCCCTATAGCCCTATAGTTCTATAGCCCTATCGTCTTATAGCCCTATAGCTCTATAGCCCCATAGCCCCATGACCCCACAGCCCTATAACCTTATAACCCTTAGCTTCATAGCCTTACAACCCTATAGCCCTATAGCCCTATAGCCCTGTAGCCCTGTAGCCCTATAGCCCTATAGACCCATAGCCCTATAGCCCTGTAGCCGCATAGCCCCATAACCCTATAGCCCTATAGCACCATAGCCCTATAGCCCTATAGCCTTATAGCCCTATCGCCCTATAGCCCTATGGCCCTATAGCCCTATAGCCCTATCTCCCTATTGCCCGATAGCCCTATTGCCCCATAGCCCAACAGCCCTGTAGCCCTATCGCCCAAAAACCCTAGAGCCCTATAGCCCCATAGCCTTATAACCTTATCGCCCTACAGCTCTATAGCCCCATAGCCGCATAGCCCTATAGCCCTATAGCCCTATAGCTCTATAGCCCTATGACCATATGGCCTCATAGCCCTATAGCCCTTTAGCCCTATAGCTCTATAGCTCTATATGCCTATAGCCCTATAGCCCTGTAGCCCTACAGCCCTATGGTCCTATAACCCTATAGCCCCATACCCCTGTAGACCTATAGCCCTGTGGCCCTATAGCCCTACAACCCCATCGCCCCAGAGCCCCATAGCCCCATAGCCCTATAGCCCTACAGCCCTATAGCCCTATAGCCGTATAGCACTATAGCCTGATAGCCCTATAGCCCTATAGCCTTATGGCCCTATAGCCCTATAGCCCCATATCCCTATAGTTCTAAAAATAGTATGGTTGTTTTTTCTTTGGTATCATGATATGCATCGGCATGCTTGTTGGGCACCTCCCTTGCATTAAAGGTTTGAGGTCAACCGAAATCCCCTGCCCACAGATCGGGCATTTCTCTTGGCCATTACGCGTCGCTGCAACATTTTTCCTCTTTGCTACGGTTTGGGGTCAACCAGTTTACCCATCCGCGCAACATGCGCAGCGTGAGCAATTTGCCCACTTGCACAGTCAGTGTTCACAAGCTCAGCAGCACTTACTTCAGCGGCAGCACACGCCTACTGGAAGCAGCGTGTACCTACTTCGGGTTTACAGGTTTTACGTTGTATACCAGAGGTACATGCTGCCTCCATTCTGGAGCTCAAGGAGCCTCGCATTCAATTTTACCTTCAATTTATCGCATCCAGTCATTTACTGCTCACTTTTTCGCAGCGTGTGCCACATACACGAGGGTATGGGTTGGGGTGTGGTGCTATGGGTGGTCGTGCTGGGGAATGGACGCGTGCACTTACCAAGGTACCACGGCTGCCCTTTCTTTTAACCAAAGCGGCGCTACCAACTGAAAAATCTAACTTTTCTAGGTTTCGAGCTTTTCTTACTAAGGATCGTGCCCTTTTCGCGGACTTAGCGGGCGCCTGCTCAATTTTCAAGTCTTTTCTTGGTCTCGCTTTCCCACGTTGCCCGCGGCGCCCGCCAGGTTCTTTCTTCTTGAGCCGGATCGAGTACACTTTTTTTGCATTCACGCCACAGGGAAACCTTAGGTTTGTCTAATGTGCGGAGGACTACGGCGAGAGACCCACTGGGGAAGTGAACTCATCCTTGTGACTGTTGCAATTGCGTGGCGCTAAAGGAAGAACTCCGTTGTGAGAAGGGGTTGTGCTCCATCATTGCAACCGCTGCAAATTTCAAGTCTTGCAGGGTCATAGGCGGTGAGGAGGTAATTATCAGGCGAACCGTTCGGCCGGCCCTACCGACACGTCTCGGGGTGCGACATGGAGGAGCATTCGGGACGGAAAACGGTGGATGGGGTGGATGGGGGGGAGGATGGGGGGCAGAGAAGGGGCAGGACGGGAGGGGCATGAGGAAGGATGCGAGAGGGGGAGGAGCGGAGACGGAGGGAGGAGGATTAAGAGAAGGAAGGGAGGAGGAATGTGGTCGAAGTGCCCCCCCCCCCCCCCCTATGTCGTATACGACCACACTCAGGGAGTGTCAAGGAGGGTCACCATTAGGGGTCATCGCCATCTTCTCTTGAGGACCGAACATCGAGGAGGAGGAGGAGGGAAACTTCAGGACAGTACCTTTTCTAAACATGTTTTTGGGAGCTTTTACTGTGGTTCTTGGAGGGGTTGTAGTGGGTCCTGGGGCAAGGAGGTGACGACCCCTTAGTGGTGACCCCTTTTGGTAGTGCTTGGCGCCATGCGCATCCCCGACGACCTGACCAGCGACGCAACAGGAGTTGGTTCGGTGGCGATATAATGTTTTTTGTTTTCCCCTGCGGAGGAGAATCCAGACTTCCACCTCCTCTCCCGCATGGCGGAGTCCAAGTACACCTTCCCCACGATCAAGTATGCGACACGGCTCTACGACATGCGGCACAAGAAGGAGCCGGTTCCTCCTCAGTAGTCCGAATTCTCTATCTTTTCGCTAGAATGACTGGTCCCTCCGCTTGCTTGAGTTTCCGTCAAGCTGCGTGGGGCGTCGTCATCGTGGTCGTCCTGCGAGCCTCCTCCCCCGCTTCGAATACGCTTGTATGCCCCTTGCCATTCTCATCTTTTTGCAGCCCTTCTTCCTCGCTGTCTTGTTCCCAAGGTGGCAGCCAGCTTTTTCCCACCTAAGGTTTGCCTGGCCCTTTTTTCTCTGTGCAACGGCGCAGGCTGCGCCAGCGTCTCGTGCCCGTGTCCCTCGGGGACGCATTCCCGCGATTCCTCGGGTGTGCTGCCCCCTCATCCCGTTGGGTTCACTCCCGATGAAAAGCAGCGCAATGCAGCACGAATGCAATGCAGCAGGTGGAGCAATGTCATGCAAGCGATTTAGCGCAACGCAGATCAGTGCGATATGGTGCGTGGAATCGGTGCTAAGTAATTCAGTGCGGTGCAGAGCGAAGTGATCCTGGTTGACCCAAAAGGGGGTCCAGCTGAAAGGGGGTAGTGTAATAGAATTCGGGCAATTGTATTGCCAACATGTTGCGCCAGAGACTTGTATTGCATTGTGTTGCAATCAATGCGCTGCAAGCTCAAAGCCAGCAGTACATTTGCGCCCCCAGGATTCCCCGGATGTATTGCACGCCCCAAATCTCTTGCAACCCCACAAATAGTTTGAGCCAGATCTGATGCACCGCGCCTTGGTAGCTGGACCCCATTTGCGCCAAGTGGAGTGATGCGCATGGAACAATTGCAGTGCAAGACAAAGCAAAACGACGCAGTTCAGTGTGAAGCAACGCCCCGCGTTACTGCAATGGAATGCGCTCCACGCTTACCCGCTGGCTCCCGCTTGGTATGGCGCATCCTGTGTTGTTACAAGCCAGCGTACTCCACTCGCACCAGTCAGCTCCTTGCGCACATCGCCTCGACAACTTGTCGTCGTCGTCGTTTTTGTTTTTTGTTTTTTGTTTTTTGTTTTTGTTTTTTTTGTTTGGTTGTTGTGGTTGTTGTTGTTTTTTTTGTCTCGTCTTCCAACTCTCCCGTGTTGGGTTCTGGTTTTGAATAGAGCTTTGCGGTCGCGACCTTCTCCTCCTCCCGCCTCCCTCCTGCTCTTCTTCCCTCCTGCTCTTCTTCTCTCCTGCCCTCTACCTGGCGTGTATCTGTCTGCCAGTCTGTCTCTTACCTCGCCGTCCTACGTCACCTCGCCATCTTTGGAAAGCTGCGATCTGCGAAACTGTCGCCACTTTCGAGGGCTGCCACTGGGCCCAGCGGAGTGGCGCGTTACGCAGACCCAGATTCGACCTCGCCATCCCCAGGGGGCTGCGATCTGCGAAGCTCTTGCCACTTTCGAGTGCTGCTGGGGGGCCCAGCTGAGTGACGCGCTACGCAGGCTCAGACTAGAACTCGCCATCCCTGGGGGGCTGCAAATTGTGAATCTGTCGCTACTTTCAAGGGCGGCTGGGGGGGCCAGCGGAGTGACGCGCTACGCAAACTCAGATTCAACCTCGTCATCCCTGGGGGTTGCGAACTGTGAAGCTGTCGCCACTGTCGGGTGCTGCTGGGGGGGTCCAGCGGAGTGACACGCGACATCTATCAACGCGCTACATCTATTCATATTAGACGTCGACATCCCCAAGGGGGCAGCGGATGGCGATTCCGTCGCCATTTTCGAGGGCTGCTGGGGGGTCCAGCGGAGTGACACGGTACGTAGGCTCAGATTAGACACCGCCATCCCCAGGGGGCTGCGATCCGCGGAGCTGTCGCCAGGGCTGCCTGGGGTCCAGCGGGGTGACGCGCTACGCAGCCTCAGTTTAGACCTCCCCATCCCTGGGGACCTGCGATTTGCGAAACCGTCGGCACTTTCGAGGGCTGCTGGGGGTCCAGCGGACTGACGCCTCACGCGCACCTAAATTAGACCTCGCCATCCCTGTGGGCTGCGATTTGCGAAACCGTCGCCACTTTCAAGGGGTGCTGGGGGGTGCAGCGGAGTGGCGCCTTATGTATACTTACATTAGACCTCGCCATCCCTGGGGGGGCTGCGATCTGCAAGCCCGTCACCACTTTCGAGGGCTGCTGGGGGGTCCAGCGGAGTGACGCGCCACGTAGACTCAGATTAGACCTCGCCATCCTTGGGGGCTGGGGGCTGCGGAGCTGTCGCCACATGCGAGGGCTGCTGAGGGGCCCACCTGAGTGACGCCTCACGCGCACCCGAATTAGACCTCGCCATCCCTGGGGACCTGTGATTTGCGAAACCGTCGCCTCTTTCAAGGGGTGCTGGGGGGTGCAGCGGAGTGGCGCCTCACGCACACCTGAATTAGACCTCGTCATCCCTGGGGGGGCTGCGATCTGCGAACCCGTCACCACTTTCGAGGGCTGCTGGGGGGTCCAGCGGAGTGACGCGCTAAGTAGACTCATATTAGACCTCGCCATTCTTGCTGTCTGCGATCGGCGGAGCTGTCGCCACTTGCGAGGGCTGCTGAGGGGCCCAGCGGAGTGACGCCTCACGCACACCTAAATCAGACCTCGCCATCCCTGGGGGCTGCGATTTGCGACACTGTCGTCACTTTCAAGGGGTGCTGGGGGGTGCAGCTGAATGGCGCCCCGCGCAAACCTAATTTAGTCCTCGCCGTTCCTGGGGGGCTGCGATCTGCGAAAGTGTCGCCATTTCCGAGGGCTGGTGAGGGGGTCCAGCGGAGTGCCGCGCTACGTGACTTAAATGAGGCCTCGCCATACCTTGGGGCGCTGGGATCGGCGAACATATCGCCACTCTCGGGGGCTGCTGGGGGGTCCAACATAGTGACTTCCGACGCGGGTTAATTTTAGCCTTGCTTTTCTTTCCCGCGGGTCCTGAAAACCTCGCGGCGCGGGGGCGGCGCATTGGAGGAACTTCCTCCATAGGTCAGGGCGCCCAGCTCGCTGCCTGACGTCCTGGAGGCGCCTGGCGCCTGAGCAGCTCATCGCTAGGGTAGGCGGTCGAGGGATCGTACCTGGGGGGGCTGCCCAGAGGCTTGGACGAGCGGTGCGGGCTTTGCTGAGCCTCTGCGCCGCGTAAGGCCGTAGGCGCGGATTCGGAAGACAACTAGCTGGTCGTCGGTGCAGCGCGATGTGTTGCCCTGGTGACACGCGCACACACACACACACACATTCGCACACGCTTCTGGCACCGCGGCCTCGTGCGCAGCGACCAGGCGCAGACAGTCAGGGGCAAGAGAGCTAAGAGAACAAAGCAGCGGACGCGCGCGGCCTGGCCCTCAGAAGAAGGGACAGGGATCCGACCGAGGGGATCAGCCATGCCATGTGCGTACCCGGGCACGGGCAGCGTGGGCGGGAGGGGAGACGAGGACGAAAAGAAAGGCCGACAGGCCAGTGCGAGAGTACGTGTTGGCCTGTCCACACACCACACACGCACACGTTTCCAAACACCCAGACACCCACACACCCACACCCACACCCACACCCACACCAACGCCGACATTCAAACCCATACCTACACCGACACCCACGCACCCACACCCACACCCACACCCAAACCCACACCCACACTCACACCCACCTTTTTGGCGTCGCGGCCCTGCGCGCAGCGACAGGGTGGAGAAAGTCGAAAAGCGGCAAACGCGCACGCGCCTAGGAGCACCCGAGCCCTCAGAGACCGCTGCGGGGCCCGCAGCAGCCGCCTGCCGTAAGCCATCTGGGCGTGGATGATGCCGGAGCGGTGGAAGACAAGGCTACGGTGCGGCGGAAGTGCCATAAGCCATCCGGGACTAGATGGCGGGGGGGGGCGACACCCACACCCAAACTCACATTCACTTACACCCAAACCCACACCCACACCCACCCACACCCACACCCATGCCCACACCCACACCCACACTCACACCCACACCCACACCCACACCCACACTCACAGCTACATCCACACCTACACCTACACCTGCACCCACATCTACACCTACACTTACACGTACACTTACACCTACGCCTACGCCAACCCTACAACTACACCTACACCTACACCTGCACCTACACCTACACCTACACCTTCATCTACACCTACACCTACACCTACACCTACACCCACACATACACCGACACCCACACCTACAGTCACACCGATTTTTTTTGCATTGCGGCTGCGCGCGCAGCGACGCGTCGGAGGCAGTAGGAGAAACGCCCTGACGAGCCGCACGCACCAACTCAAACTCACACACCACACACATACACATACACACCGACAAAGACAGACACAGACACAGACACATAAGCATACACATAAACAGACACAGACACAGACACAGACACAGACGCAGACACAGACACAGACACAGAAACAGACACAGACACAGAAACAGGCACAGACACAGACACAGCCACAGACACAGAAATAGACACACACAAGCACACGCAAACACACACAACACTCAACACACACACAACACACGCACAGACGCACGCACACACACGCGCACACGCACAAACACACACACCCACACCCACACCCACACCCACGCACGCACGCACGGACGCACACACACACGCACACACTTCTTCGTCGGTGGTATAGGCAGAGTCACTGCCCTAGTGAAAGAGAACACACGCACACACGCACACACAACACACAACACACAGCACAACACACAACACACAACACACACCACACACCACACAAAACACAAAGCACAACGCACAACACACAACACACAACACACACCACACAACACATACCACACACCACAACACACAACACACAACACACAGCACACAGCACACAGCACACAGCACACCACATAACACACAACACACAACACACAACACACGACACACACAAGACACAGCACACAACACACAACATACACAACACGCAATCCACACAACACACAACCGACATATCAAGCACACAACATAGAACACAGCACACAACACACAACACGCCCATCACACGTATCACAGCACACACAACGCACA